TTTTACCTCAAAGATAATTTATTTATAGATCAAGGATTCAAGCCTCACCAAGGCTCACATGTAGTGTATATGGATTACTTAAAGAAGACTCAAGGCCTTGGTCTTATTTTCCTACCTACATCCAAGGTGCTACAATCCATATGGAACTTGTGCACCTCATTTGGTCTTATTTTCCTACCTACATCCAAGGTGCTACAATCCATATGGAACTTGTGCACCTCATTTCCTATAAGAATTTAATTAGTTGTTGGTCCTTTTATTTTCTATTAGTAGAACTCATATTTTTTTATTCTTAACTTCATAATGGTATTTAAAAATATCTAGATATCCTAAAAACCTTGTATGACCTTCAAATCTTGTTCCATTTTTTCATAATGGCCCCAAGGTGATAAAACTCAATCTTACTGGAGTCTTGAAATCTTCTCTAAAAAGTCCTAAATAATTCTAAATAAAATTTCAAAGATCTTATAATATTTCTATAATATTAATATTTATTTAAGAATATATTTTCCTACCTTGATGATTTTTTATAGTAATAAAATCAATTTAAATCCACTAAAATTTCTATTTTCTATATGATTAATTAAAAAGACATGAAGTTCTTCTTAATGCTTCTTTTAACCACTAATTAATCATTGATAAGATTTTTATGAATAATACATATAGATAAAAGGTCAATAAATACATTAGTCTTAATAACTAATCTTTATTACTTAAAAATAACTAAAAATATTAAATTAACTAAGATAATTGCCTCTAAGATTTACTAAGACTTTATTTTTATAACTTTTCTTCTAATAAGACTTTTGTAATGTGTAAATATTTCTAAATTCTTATAAAAACTTAAATAATAAAAAATAATTTCTAATCTTAATATTTTATATTTAAATATCTTAAAACTATATTTTTAACCAATCCATCAATTGAGATGTATTGGTGGGATTCATAATAAGATAAGATTGAAATTATAATATGATTGCAGGTCCCACCAATAGATCTTAATTAGTGGATTGATTAAAAATATAGTATTAAATCATTTAATAAGATAAATACTAAGATTAAAGAGTCTTTTTGACTATTTACATATTTATTAGAATTTAGAAGTATTTATAAGTATAAAAATCTTATTAGAAGAAAGATTACAAAAATGGAGTCTTAGTAAGTCTTGGAGGCAATTATTGTCAAGGACATAGAAATACAGACTCGAGATCTAACAAGAAGTTCAAGAAGAACTGGCAAGAACTAGATTAATTAGATGAATACAAAAACAACACCAGAGAGGTGAGCTAGAACTCCAACAGATGTGTTGTCGAGACTAAAGAACTCTTCAGCCTCGATTCTAATATATACTCCTATTTAGGAAGCTTCTTAAGCAACTTCTACCAACTAGGAAGCTTCTAGAAGGTTCTAGAGACTTACTTCTAGAAGATTCTAGAAACTTGTCTATAGAAGGTTCTAAGGACTATGTCCCTAACATCTTCTACCAACTAAGAAGCTTCTAGAAGGTTCCAGAGACTTGCTTCTAAAAGGTTCTAGAAACTTGTGTCTAGAAGGTTCTAAGGACTATGTCCCTAACAATTATCTTAGTTGGTATAGTGTTTTCACTCATTATTGAGTATTAATGATTAGTAATTGAGACCAATGTCTATATTGGCCTCATAACTATATGTATTACTTAAAAAAATCCTATCAATGATTAGTTAATAGTTAAAAGAAGCATGAAAAAGAACCTCATATCTTTTAAGTTATGTATGTAGAAAATAGGATTTTTAGTGGATTTAAATTAATTTTATTACTATAAAAAAAGATAGAAAATATAGCTTTATATAGATATTAATATCATAGAAATACGATAGGATTTTTTAGATTTTTTTAAGGATATTTTATGAATTTTTAGAGAAAGTTTCAAGACCTTGGTAAAATTGAGTTTTATCACCTTGAGAGCTACTATGAAGAAATGAAACAAGATTTGAAGACTATACAAAGTGTCTAGGCTAATTGGGTGTTTTTTTAATACCATAGTGAAGTCAAAAATGCAAAAAAAGTAGTTTTACTAATAAAAAATAGGAGGACCAGCAGCAAGTGTAGTCCTTGTAGAAAGAGAGGTACACAATTCACATATGGGTTGTAGCACCTTGGGTATAGGTAGGAAGATAAAACTAAGGCCTCAAGGCCTCTTTGGACGACCAATATATGCTACTTGTGAGCCTTGGTGAGGCTCGAGCTCCTGATTTCTTAAGCAAGTTACCCTTGAGATAAAAATTATTCACTTAACTTTTTTATTATTTATATTCTATTTTTAATCTATCATAACTTACTCATAGTAACTTGGAATTACATGAATTTTATGTCATTGGAAAGGAAAAAAAATTATCTATCTAAAAGTATTTTTTTTACTTTTTAATTTTACTTTTTTTTGGGTAAAAATTCAATGAACAGACTATGACTAGTTTTGTAGTGTACAATTGCTTGATTCCACTTGTTTCACTTGTTTTGTATTGTTCTTCTTTTATTCTTGTTTATTGCTACTTCTACTTCATACTACCAATTATATGCAACTCTTAATTGAAGCCATCTTATAATTTGGGGTGAAGGAGAAATTTACCCTTATAATGATCTTATTAGAATTTTAGAATATTAGAATATTAGAGGTAGTAGACTTGCAATCTTTGATAGGAAGGTATATGTAATATATTGAGTATATAGATCAATTATGTCAATAAGAGAATAAGAAAAAAGAATATATAATTAAATTTGATATTTGATCTTTTAATTAAACTTTTATAACAAGTAATTTTTTTCTATATCAATTATTTATGAATAACTTACTTATAATTAAAAAGTAAATAGAATTTTAAATTTTAAAATATAGATTTATTTAAATTGAGAATGATTTAAAACTAAAAAAATTAATTAATATTTAAATTAGTTTAGATATTAAGCTATAATTTAATTTAGATTTAGATTTTATTTTTTATAATTTATAAATTAATATTTAAATTTTAAATAAATTAATTTAAGATTCAATATTTTTAATTTTATAATTAATATTTAGTAGTTTTCTTAATCAATTTGAAAATCACTATTAAAACTCAATTAGGATTTGATCAGATATAAGTTTTGAATTTTAAAAAATTATAATTTCAGGATTAAAATTAAAATTTAAGATTTTTTTTAAAGTTATTAACTTTTAAAGAATATTTGGTTTAATTAATAATTTTTAAGATTAAGATTATTTAGATTTTAAAAATTTATGATATAAAAAAAATTATATTTTCTAAAAAATACCATTAAATGTTAAAATTATAATATAAATTTCCTTATGTTTAGAATAAGGATTTATAAGAACAGAATTAAGTAGATATAAGTGATAATAGATTAAAAATATTAATTTCTAAATACATGTAATATTTGGATTATGAACTATCAAAGAAGTTATAATAAATGCATATTGAAGGTAGTATTTATCAAATTAATAAACTTTATATTAATTATAGATATTATCTCAAGACTACTTATAATATTAGATATAAAATTAATATATAGTTAGATAACAGTCATAAATAAAATCAATTATAAATCATCTTAATTTTTTAAAATATTTATTATTTAACTATAATTAGATAAAGTAAATTTTAATTTTTTTAATCTTAGTTATTTATTTAAAATCATTATATTACTATTCAAAACTACATTGATTATTTATTTATACCATTTCTTCATTTATTCTTTGACATTGTATCTTATATTTTTAAATTAAATTTTAAATATTATTTCTAAAATTTACCTCTTTTTTAAAAAAAAATTTAGGTATTATTTAATTATTTTTTCTATTTTTAAAATTATTATTAAAAAACATATATTTCTTGTAAGTTTCTTATTTTTTAAAGTACATTTTCTTATTAGTTTCTATTTTTTCTAAATTACCTCAAAGATTATATAAATTCTCTATTTATTTTTCTTTTATTAATTTTTAATTTTTCTCACTCTTCTTTGTTTTATATTTTTAGGATATTGCTAATGCTATTATACTTTTTATTATTGCCACCACAACTCTATATCCACCACATGCCACCTACATCCACAATTGCTACAATTACAACCTATTTCAAGGCATCAAAACATTTTATCTCAATTATATAATTTCTAGACAATCTTGTCTTTTCTATCTAGACAATCAAAGTGTTATGGCTTGCCAAGGTGCTAGTAATGTATACCTCTATGAAAAAGAAATGTTGTACTAAAAGTTGTGAATAGAGCAGTAGATGTGTTGCATATTAGAAGGATGTATGAGAAGAATGTATAAGAAAAGCACCTAAAAGGAGTACATAAAATTATGACGGGCTTTGCATCAAATAGGTAGCACATTGTGGTGGCAATAGAAAACTCTATGGTGGCATTAGTAATATCATTTTTAAAAAAAAAAAACAAATTCTAACAATTACTTTTGTAATATAAGTTTAAACTTAAGTTTGTATTTAATATTATATTCTTTTGTATAGAAGTATAATTGTGAGACTCTAATGTTAAAATTTAATTAAAATTTATTAGATTCCAACAATATTGGAAATAATTATAAAAAAAATCAAAAAAAGACAATGTATTCAATTTATTTTCTTCATTTATAATTTAGTGTAAAGCTAGCAAAATACTAAAAGTCCAACACATGTATTCTACAACTTAAATACAATACATTTTAAATAAATAATGCAATAATTTTACAACCTAAATTGTAGACTTGCAATACTCAACTAAGAAAACTAGTCTATGGTTGGCACAGTGGCATTCATTGCATTCATTGGTAAGGATTTGTTGATAATTAAATATGGATGTGTTTGTGGTTTGACTTTACAACACTATCTATCAATGATTTGGAGTGAAATGACATATACTTTACAAAATGGACACATGCAACTCCTCTAAACTGTATCCTCCAAATCATGCACAAGAGTTGACACGCATGTGAAGCATATGAGAGAGAGAGAGAGAGAGAGAAAAGAAGTCGAGGAACGGCAGGACTGCAGGTTTATTGAAGGTCTGCTTCCATGGAGGGAGGTTCAGTTGCTCGTTCTAACGAAGGATCAGTTTGTAGTATTCGCTGCTTTCGGCGTGATTCGCCGTTCTTTCAGAATCTTCACACCGACATACCTCCCGAGCATCATGACAGTTGCTTGCGGATTTGTGCCCGGGGACTTAGTGAACGTGGACCCGTCGACAACGCGGAGAGGCCTGGTACCGAACACTCGGTAGCTCTTGTCCACCACTTTCCCGACAGTGCAACCTCCATGGAAGTGCCAGATGGTGGTTAAGGTAGTTCGGCACCATTCTGCCGTCTCCGTGTAGTTGGACACATCAGGAAGGTAAGCTCCCTCGGTGCTTTCGCCTTCCTTCAATTGGTAGTAGATGGACGCTACCAGGGACGTGACTGTGGTGAACCTGAATGGCTGAAACGCTGGTGCGCGCAGCAACTTGTAGAAACGTTTGACTCCTGAGATGCAATATTCTATGTCACGGGGATGCGAGTAGTAGTTGAATTTCACATAGGGGTTGCGGTTGATATCCGTGCTGTTGAGGCGGAGGCTTCCATACGAGATTGGATCGTAGAGCTTGGTCAAGATGAAGCTGCGCCTTGGTATCACTGGATAAATTATTTAGGGAGGTCTGCGCAGACGCTACAAAGTCTGGGGTTCGCTGAGAGGGAGCAACGTAGTTGAGCTGCCCCATTCCCGGCAACTGCCAAGAGAAGTTCGACCCACTTCCACCCTCAATAATGAACTCTTTATCGATGCCGACAACGGATAGCAGGGAGGTTTCCACAGGAGTAGGCGATAAAACTACAATGGCATTCTTGGGGTTGTCAACCATATCCGCACCAACAGCATTGAGTTCTACATGACAAGTTATGTTGAACTCAGCGAGATGCTCACATGAGCCGATGCCGCTTAACAGGAGCAATTGGGGACTTCCTAATGCTCCAGGTTGAGTTTTTGAATATATGATTTCAACGTGATAGATCTTACCGGAATTATCGAAGATGATGCGTTGGACATTTGCGAAGGTGAGTACCGTGAGGAGTTTGTCGTTAGCATAGGACAGAAAATCAGCAGCCGAGTCCCGACGGCCCTGTTTGTCGAAAAGCGAGCCGCCCACCTTCGTTCCGTAGATGTGGTCGTTGTTGAGGCCATTGTTGGGCGTGACGCCCGTCTGCAGCAGACTATCTTGCAGGGCCGTTTGCCAGACTCCGTGAGATCCTGGATGGACAATCTTCTTCTCCACCCAGCGGTAGGCCTCTGCAACCCTAGATGGCTTCCATCCTGCCGCTCTCACTTGTGCTGCACTAGCTCGGCTGTAGAACCCTGCATTGACCGCACTTCCTCCTCCCAGGACCCGAGTTCATCGGTTGTAAACCCCATCAGCAGACCTAAATGCCTGGACAGGGCTTGTCTCCGACGGGTTTCGGGGATCGTCAACTAAGAGATCCGACCAACCCTCCACGCGCTCGATTCTTGGGTTTCCATACGGAGTACCACCCCTCTCCAAGAGCAACACTTTGTACTGCTCAGATAAGGTTGTTGCTAAGGCACATCTCGCAGTTCCTCCTCCCACTGCTATGTATTGATATTGAGCATGTAGAGGCTCAGTAGTGGCGTCACGAACATCAAAAAACTCTGCTGAACACATTCAAGCACAACTTAGGAGTGTGGATACGATATGATCTAACAGACGAATTGCACTCCTGAGACTACAAGACTGATAACAAGACCGTCACGGTTACATATTTTTATCTAGCAAAGTCTGATACCTGCACGCACTTAAGTTTGCAAATTCTTCCTTATATGATTCGACAGTATATTTATTGTCTGCTTGAGATGCAACGTTGAATAGTGCAATTAGAAGCTACTTTTCCTCTAAAATCATTGCTGCAGAGTCACAACAAAGATCATAAGACAATATAATGCAGCTCACGACGGAAGACCACCGGCTAAGAAATGAAGAAGTTTGGACCTGCATCTGCGTAGACTTTGCTCATTTGCATGTAATGTGCTCCTAGTACTGCCAAAATGAGGCTTGCGGTTACCGCCGACAGACCCATGACTTCAACTTGAGAATTTGCAGGCTTTTAGCCGCACTAACACGTGACCATTAGGGAGTGTAAATGCGCATCACGTGGAGCGTTAAGTGAACTACATGCACATGCTTCGACGGTGAGGACTTCGCGCATGATCTAGACCCGAAGTGAAGCCTTTTGCACTTGGATCAGCCGGTAATGGTTGAATCTAGCATCTCAAGTTTTTGTCGAAACTTCTAGCATCGATCAGCAACCCCTGTCACATGGATATTCGTGCAGCTTTATATTCTGGTGAAGTTGTCCATATCTGACAACGAAGCGCATTCCTGACATGTATAGGAAACGGCAGGTCATCCAAGAATGCTGTTTGCACCACAGTTTAACGGCGAATCTTTTTCCAATGTAAAAGGCTGCTGGTTGATAGGGTTGGTGTGCGTGGTTCACAACTTTAATAAATGTTCGTCCCAGCACTGCGTATTGCTGGAGATAGATATCTAGAATGATCAGATATCTGTTCAAGTTCTATGCGAAGAAACGTCTTCCTGCTGGGATGGGGACGACGAAGTAGTCCAAAATCAGCTTTATATGCGACTATATCGTCACCATGTAGTTGGAATTTTCAAAAAACAATTAGATCAGTTCACCGTCCCTAGTAATGGAGAAAACGACCCTTCACAACAAGAATAGTGGCTATGGATGCGATTCTTTGAAAGCTGGACGGTGTGCTTATGACTTACATCATTCGTAGTACCGCCTGTTGAAACATGAACGTGGTTCCTATCAACCCTCTGTAATCGATCCTTCGGATTCTGTGTGGATTTTGCGTGATACACATCTACTGCATTCTCTGGAAACTTGGGTCGATTATAACCAAACACTCGTGAAGAATATTATATTCCGAGTCGAGCTGTGGAATCCCGTGTGCTTCACCACCATCTTGACTATAAGGGAGGTAGAGATTTCTGACAGATACATGGAAGGGGGAAACACTTATCTAGCTTTTCTCACCAGCAAATTTGGTCTTTCTCAAAGTGGGGTTCGCACTGTGCTCGCTGGCATATATTCAGTCCATGCATCTTAAAGAGTATGGTCGACTTGACGTCGATTCCGTGTTAAAGCCTTCGGTTCATGCCTGTACCGGGTCTCCGAACCATTTACTGTACTGAAAGGTTAGATATAATTGGTTATATCGAATACGCAAAGCGATGCTAAAGCATTTAAGAAGTCCATTTTCAAGGACATATAGAATGCGGCTAACTGGGGGATAGCTCCTGAGCCAAGACTGTACTGTAAATTTAGTAACGACGTTACTATTGAGGATTGATTTCTGTGGCAAAATTACCGAAGGCTACCGAAGAGTGGTGAGGAACTTCATGTTGCTGTCACCATCCCACAACTTTTCCGGCCAATCTTTTGCATGAGGCTTGCTGGACTCTGCCGCACACCCTCGCAAGTCCTCTCCTATGGCAGTTGGCCACAGATATTGTTGAAAATCCTTGATTGAGGAAACTTTTTCACACTTCTGATATGCAACATATCAATATTTTAAATGCAGAGGGATTGTGATTTTGGGAGGGTCATACTTGAAAGTTAGGTGCCGAAGGTAGTGTTGTGGTCAACAAGTCATGTGGAGAAGAACATTCACCACTACTTGTAATAAAATCTACTTTGCATAATGATTTTATATGAGATATAGTCATTTAGCGTAAATTATTTTTATGAGAACAATGTGAGTTCTGGATTGTTTAAAAATAAATTTGTAATGAAAAAAAATTATATTTACCAGAAATGAAACATTTAATAGAAGTGCTTTTTCTTTTAAATATATTCTAGTTAAGTTTCCTTTAAAAACAGGCAGCAACTTCTATTTTCACCTTAACTCCTTCAAATTAATTTTCATTTAGTTTATTCATCAAAACACTATATTAGATAAATTGAAATACATTTTTCTATCAACTATAGAATTTCCAATTTAAATTATAAACTTCATTGCTAAATTTATTATTCCTTCTAAAATTAATAATATTTACTGAGAAAAAAACAAGTCATAAAATAAGATGTAACAATTGAAATAAAAATTTTCAAAATCAAATAAATTCCTTTTAAAATTGAATCAAACTTTGATTAGGATAGGTTGTTCAATTAAATAGATTTAAAAATTTGGTACAAGCAGAGTGTCTTATGTTTAAATTGTAATATTCTTTAGCCTAAATATTAAAAAAAACTTTTGAAAATAAAAATATGAAAACTCATCTTGGATTTAAATTATTTTTATTATATTCTTGTATTTTGATAATAACTTTTATTTCTTATTCATCGATTAAAACAACTTCATGCAATATAAATATAATTAAGTATCTTTATTTGTATATACATATAAATCTCTATAACTATTTTTTTAAGCCAAAGATTTCTGAGACCTCCTTCTAACTCCTCAAAAGGTTCAATTTGAAAAAGTTAAGCATTCTTAGGGGTTTGGAGTACTTAAATGCTATGGGACAAATTATTAATAAAAGAGGCCTATTTGGTCTTGGCTTTGTTGGATATCCTTATGTATTAGAAGCTACTTTTAATTTTTTTGTTTTGGTGGTATGTATATGTGATTATTCTATCTACTTTCTAATCGTGATAGTTATTAAGCTACAACTCAATCCATGTTTGAATTTGTGTTATGCGGCATGTTCATCAACATTACTACTTGGACCTTAGAGATGCAGATTCATAACTATGAGTATGTAAGTGTAGGCACAGTTAATATAGATTCAAAACCACCCAATGTGATATGCATACAACATATTAATATATGACAAACTTTTGAAATCATAGAATAAGATGAAATTAGTGCTTTATTTATAATTTTAAATAATTATGATATAAAATTAGTCTTAACATATATTTTATAAAAATCTAAATTTATTATTTTTAATAGTATTTTATTCAAAAAATACATCTTAATAGTTTAAATTTAAATAAAAAACTAACCTTCTAAAATTACAATATTATTAATTGCTTCTTAATCTAAATTGCTTGATATTTTATTATTTCTTCTATATATTACAAAAAATACTTTACTCTTTTTTAACTAAAAACTAATTTTAATTTTATAGTTCATGATGTTTTTTAGTTATTATAAGTTTTCAAGCTTTTATATATCATTAATTTTAAAAATAAAATCTGTTAAAGAAGATATATATTAATATAATATTACACATAAAATTTAAAAGATAAAGTAAAGAGATAAAATCACTAATAAGATTACTTTGAAAATAAAATCTTAGAATAAATTAGTTTTATTCATTAAATATAATTTTTTATCTAACCAATATAATATAAAATTACTAAGAAATTTTAATTTAAAAAATAATTGATTTAATACTTTCTTTAATGTACTTTTATTTATCAAAAAAACATTTTGTAATTTTCATTTTACATTATTTTTAAGTTTTGAGATAAATAATAATTTATCTCTAAAATTACTTTAAAATAATAAATTTAATTCTTATCTTAATAATAGGAACCTAAATTACTTTCAAAATAAAGAAATAAATGAAATTTCTTTACATGCTTAAAAAATAATTTTATTTTTTATTTTTAAAATTATTATACTTTATTTTTAATTCTAGTTGGTAAAAATGATATAAAATTAGTAAAATAAGTTGAGACTGATAACGAAAGAACACCTAAATTAAATTAGAACAAGTTGATATTACATTCTAACATTAAGAAAATCTCTTGAATTACATTAGAAACTACTTAAGAAATTCTAATAATATTTTTGCACGATAATACAACTTTTCTAATAAAAAATATAAATCTTTAGTCATATAGCCTAAACACCAAAAATTAAAAGATGATTTGCCTAAGTTTCTTGCTATTCCTAAGGCATTTCTACTTAATCCACTATATAGTAGACTACAATTTGGTCATATAATTAAACCATAACTACTAAGAAAAATATTAAAAAAACATTTATATCATGAAATTTACAACTCAATTTTTATCCCTATTCTACAAAATAAATCTTGTACAATTAAGTATCCAAAGAAAAATATACATGTATATTTTACTCAACAACCTCAATGTTCTAATAAGCTCTATTTTAGTGAATGGAAAAAAGTAACAATGATAGAACTAGTTTTTTGTTGGAAAATAATTGATTTTGATATAATACATAAGAAAAAACGTGATATTACAAAAATAATTTGATGTTATGACATTAAGTAAAAAAAACCAATTCTCAAGTAAAAATGGACTAATTTGAACATAATTTCGTCGCCACTAAAGTCATAAATGTTCATGACATGTATTAACTGAGTTGTCTTAAATGCCTTACATGTATGGTAACATCTGGAAGTAATACAAAATAAAAATCAAAGTTCTGTATTATATGCCTATTAAGAATGAATAAAACATGATGAATAGTTTTATATTGCATGTGACAATGAGGTGGTTATAGACTTGAACTTGGCATTGAAGCCTCTCACTGTATAGCTTATGCTGATGCCAACAGGCTCAATGTTTTGTTTACAAACATGTATGATGCAGTTTATTTACCTAATCTGGTTGGTGATGTCTGTATAATCTTATACTTGAATTTTTGTTGGTGAAACAAAGTTGTGCAAGATGTTGTAATGGATCCACATGTTTATGACCAAGTTTTAGTTTGACATGCTTAGTTGCTCTGTGTTAAGACCTCTTGATGATCTCGCAGAATGCTTCATTGTACTTGTTGAAGACTTGGTCTGGTCACACAGAAAATTGAAGAGCAAGACAAATGTCTTCAAAGACCATTGGAGAGCAGGGTGTTTGAGGGACTGTTGCAGGCTCACAAAATGAATTGGAGCAGTCACTTTTTGACCAAGTGAATTTGATATTACATTATGTTTATATCTTCTTACTCTTTCGAAAGCTTGTATAGAGCAGAATGACAGATGTCTGTATTAGTTCTTGCCATAAAATATGAAACAGCAACATTTTTTGAGCTTGTCCACTGAAGCTATTTGTTATACTTGTAGTGTAAAATTGCACTACAATGGAGAGCATTTATCAGCAGTTGGGACAATTAATATATACCACAGAAAATACCTCTTAAGTGAAGGAGATTTGAGGGCTTGATTTCAAATTCAGAAAAGTGTTCTCTATTATGACATGTTGTTCTCCTACTAATAAACCTTGGAGCCACCCCTTCAAGGCTATGGTCCAAGTAATGACCCATGTGCTAAGTCCTTTCTGGTCCCTTGACACTGCAACTCTTTCCTTAATCATTCAGACTCTTTGACATAAATGATCCTTGCTGTGGCACAAATTTAAGTATACAATGTACTTGGCAAAGCAGAACCTGTTTGGCAATTCACTTTTTCAAGTTTCAGTGGCCCTAGTTCATATCATCTCCCTAAAAGCTACAAATTACAAGACTATTAAGGTAGCCAACCCATTGTCAACCACCTCCTCCCATTTCCAACCTACTGGGTGGAGTATTGGCATGAGTGCAATGACCTATTGTCTATTTGTTCTGATATTTTTTGGTCAAAAATAGGTCGATGGTTGGTTAATTTTACAACTTTTTTGATCACAGAAAAATGTTGTATGATAAAGTGGGTGTTTTATGATATAGCTATTAGTTGTTGATTGATTGGGGTGGAATAATAGTTTAATTAGGTGCCAAACTTCTTGGTTTTGCTAAAGTTGGATTCTCAATTCTGAAACCCACCATTGGTTGGAATCAAGTTGGTCCATATGTGGCATTTCTTGATTTTGTTCCATATGGTCCATAAAGTCCAAATTTACTGTATTCAAAGAAACTGATCTTCAGAAGTTCAATTACCTGTGACATGAGAGTGTTTCACAGACATTTCCCAAAATTTAAAGTCTTCTGGGTTGACAACTGGGATATCAATGTTTTAGATATTTTGGTCTTTTCTTTTCTTTAATTCATTCATTCTTTCTTTTTCTTTTTCTTTTTTCTGGGGGGGGGGAGTGGTGGACTCAGTTGCTATTGAATCATGAAAAATTGATCTATCCAAAGCTAATTTTTTTATTAAATATTAACATTTAAGTTTTTTTGTACTAATAATATATATATATATATATATATATATATTATAAATTTTCATTGATTATTCAAAAAAAATCTTATTTTATTTATTTTAGTCGAAGTTTTATATATCTTTTGAGTATGTTTTAGTTTTAATAACTAAAAAAACTACATGTCAATATGTTTTTGTCAATTGATATTTAGTCTTGAAGAAGCATGAAAAGTAAGATGAAAATCTTAAAAAGTTAAAAACAAGTTTTATCCAAATCAATGTTAAGATACAGCATTGATATACAAGATTTAATACCACAACTTTAAAGAAGAGACTTGATATTTGATAATATTATTAGAGGTAGTTAATAAAATATGTTTCATTCTAATGATAAGATAACTTATAACTATTTTGTCTTTCTATAAAGCATTATTAATGATAAAATAAGCTTTCAACCACCTTCATGGAAAGCATAAATTAGAATTTGTTACAAATATCATATGACGAATTTTAAACTTTAGTAGCTTGTTAATGAAAACAAAATTTTACACTTATTTATAGAACTTATCTCTAAGCAAAGTAAGAATAGATATTTTCATATATATATATATATATATATATATATTCATTTATTTAATAATAAATTATCTATTAATATATATAAATAAGAAGAAATAGGTTAAAATAGGTTGAATAGATAGTACTTTTTGAAAAAAGATAAAACAAGCTTTTTAGAGCAAAGTGATAATACAAGATTTATTAAATGTACTATGTGGCTAAGAAAAAGAAAATCATCTCTGAGAATTTATATTTTTATATTAAAAAGTCATTATAGAAGCATTATATAATATTAATACTAAGCTTAGAAGTCTTGTGGTCTATAATTTATAAGATACTTCTATAGTGACTGTTACAGAAATAGAATTCAGATCTTTTTTAGTCTATTTAACAATTTTTAGTCTTAGCTGAAGTTTTATATATATATATATATATATATTAGTATCTTCATATCTTATAAATATCTTTTTCTATTAGTTGATTTTATTTTATTTTTAGTTGCATAAGGACATATAATTTTTTCAATCAATTTTTTTAGAATCATTTTCTTAATTAATTAATTAATTAAATAAAGGTGGTATAAAGGTATTTTTTTATACTTATCAAATGTAATTATCCACATTAATTAGTTAAGTTATTATTTTTGAGAACTTTACTACTCAACAACAAAATCAAATATCATCATCTTATATAGGTTTTAAAAATAATATTACTAATTTCTCAAAAACATCTTACAATTCACAGCATCTTTAAAAAATTTATTACCATCATTTTTAATCTAAAATAATAATTAAAATATCTAAAAAATTAGATAGTTGAATTTATACTCAAATTTGTTGGTGGAATTAAAAATTGGAAATAAAAACTTATGATTTGAAATTTTAAAGTTGTATTTTAGAATCCTAGCTTATTAAAGTAGCCGACCTATTTTTGATAATTTAAGAATTTTAGTATATATCTAGTAAGTGTAAAAATAAAATAATATCTCTATATAGGAAAATAGAAATTAAAAGGATTTTAAATATTTTTACACAATTTGGCCCAAAACAAAATTTATATAAATGTTTTAGGCTTTAGATTTTAGAATTAGGTTGGCTTATATGTCAAAAATAGGTTGAAGAGAATCTTCAACCTATTTTTGATATATAAGCCAACCTGTTTCTAACCACAAGTGGGTTACAAACCCAAGAATCTAACTTTTACAAAACTAAGAATCCAACTTTTACAAAACCATGAAGTGTGGCAGCTAATTGTGCTACTATTCCACCCCCATCAATCAAGAGTTGCTACCTATATTAAAATACACCCACTCTATCATGCGACACTTTGCTATGATCAAAAATGCTACAAACTTAATTAGACCTTGACCTATTTCTTATCACATCTTAACATCTTTTTAACCAACCCATGATCTATTTCCAACCAACTAATATTAGACCCAAAGTCCACAATAGGTCACTGGACTATTCCATCCTGTAGATTGGAAATTGGGAGGGGAGGTGGTTGACAAAAGCTTGGATACCTTATATTTAAAAGTTTGAATTTTTGATATATGATTTTTATATATTTGATTATGATTATGAATATATAAAAAAATAAAAAAAGCAATCAATCAACCAATTAATGAATATAAATAAATAAATTGAAAGACATCATAATCAAATATACAATGCCATCCAATAAACACAAAAATGATTTTTTTATTTATTGGAAGTTTTTAGCAGTAAATAAATAAGAAATGCAGTAAAACGAAACTCTAAAACGTCGAAGGCTTGACACTGGATCTCCACAAACGGAATTTCCGAGGTTTCAATTTAAGGTCTAGACAGACGGAGGCCTGCATACGTGACCCACAAACGTTCGTCTCGATGTTGCAGTCAAAGCAGAGTTCGTTACAAAGAGTTATGATCGGTGCGGACCAGATGAGAAATGTTTTTCTTGTTGTTGTTGTTTAGGTTGAGTGTCGATGGGCGTGGCCCTTTTTCAAGTGCTTTTTGGCTTCGTTGTGGCGAGTTCTGGCTGCATGGTCAGGTTGCGGAGAAGGAGCCTCTTCGGGTGATTTCTTGGGCAACAGGACGCCGTGGATGTTGGGAAGGACCCCTCCGTGTGCGATTGTCACCCCTGCTAGCAACTTGCTCAGCTCCTCGTCGTTCCTCACTGCCAGTTGGATGTGGCGAGGAGTGATCCGTGTCTTTCTGTTGTCTCGAGACGCGTTTCCTGCAAGCTCCAACACCTGCACACACAACTCCAGAGTAAAAATGGAAACTTGACCATCCCTCATTATCTCTCTCTCTCTCTCTCTCTCGCACACATTTCCTGCTAATAGGATCTTATAGATATGCCAATTGCAGAAAGTTTACTAGCTGTTCACATTTGTGCCGATGTTTCAAGCTGATAGACAGTAACATCCTCCAATTAGACTTCCAATGACATGAAATGTCATAGACAGCTTGCTACCAATGTCGTAGAGAAACGGCTTGTGGAGATGGAGTAATATGGGGCTGAAAATTGTCGCATTCAACCACTAGAGAGATTCCCGAGGTTTGATAGATGGGCTTGCCATACCTCGGCAGCGAGGTACTCCAGGACTGCTGCCAAGTACACGGGTGCACCAGAACCCACCCGTGCAGCATACTTGCTTTGCTTCAAGTAGCGGGCCAACCTGCTGACAGGAAACTGAAGCCCCGCCCTGACCGACTTGGACACCGACTTCTTCCTTGACACGACGCCCCTTGCCATGACTGCGTTGGCCCCGAAGAAATTAGCCCTATCTGTCTTGTGAAGGTGGTGTTGTTTGCAAGCTTCGGTTTGAGGTGGGCCATTCGCCACTCCTGTGCAATTACGTAGAGCCTTCGACCTTGGGCAGGAAAATGGAGTTGGGTGAGGTGGTTAGAAAAGCGGAACAGAAGCAGACGGTTATTTGTGTAACGACCTGTGTCGCAGGACTCCGCGACGTTTCCACGGGATGGAACTGCTTAAGACTCTTCACAGCTTGCCGTTGGTTGTGTCCCTCACCTGTGCAGTCAGACCCCGTGTTTAGGTACATTCCTTCCGAGGTTTCGTTCATTGCAACCACATTTGGCATGAATCCCTTGAGCTCGTACCATATGAAGGTGGATTAGACGATGAGCTCCGAATTTTGGATCATGCTGCTCGTTTTTAAAGCCTATACAGTGATTTAAGCATCTAAGCAACCAAAACGGGGCGATGTTATCTATGTAAAGAATTTTTCTGTGTGATGGGTTGCGACGGCTGCTGACCATTTTTGTTTTTTCATTCATGTATACGTACAGCAACTAAACTAACCATGGTGATTTTTATGATCCGTTGATGGCGAATTACAACCATCACCGACTTCATGCATTGAATTGATGAAGAATTTGGAGTTACTGTTAGTACTAATCCAAATGCTCCACAAACAGATAAATACATGAAAGTATGCATGGCCCGCAAATTTGCTAAATCAAAAATGCTCTTTTTCCTAAGTGCATTCAATCAAATCCCCTACTCACTAGTGTCTACGTAATTGGCCTCAACTGTGTCCCTGAGATCGATCAGACGATTACCATCTGCGTTGAGTTCAACAGTATCGGTAAATGAGTTGGAAAGTGCTGAGCTGGCTAGAGAGCCACTTGACGGACTGACGCCTCTCTGCTTCGAACTGCTAAAAGTATACGACTTAAGAGAGGATGATGAATCACTGGATACAGAAGGACCCACACGTAATTTGTTCAGCTCCTCTAACCTGCGTTTACTTTTTAAAGGTAATCTAGCAAAGCAGGAATAACAATAGCAACTACTATCTAACCCACATTGACCACGAGGTCCATGAGGCGAAATTCGAGTGTGCTTCACACAGTAAACACTCTGACATTCTCGACAGTAATGTTTATTGAGCTTCATCCACCAGTCTTGCAATGCATGCCAACGATCAAACCGTATTTTACAACCTTCATGGTTGCACCTACATTCTCAGCACACCCAGTGGTCAGAAATTCTCATTCAACTTATAGAAGCAAATCAAGCCTTCAGTTGACAGTGGAGTTCACAAAATAAATATATATATATATATATATGTATATATATACCGACACAAACTGCCAAAATAATGTAAGTTTGGTAATCATGGAGTACCAACTCACCTGTTTTTACTCCGCTTGATAGGAAAAGAATGCAGCTCTTGTTCCTGAGGAATCAATGGTGGAAACACTACTGCCGTATCTGCCTCATACTCAAACTCTGTTTCTCTTGCACTGGTGTTGAGCGAAGAGCCACTTGAATCCACTCCATTCATTTGTAGTCCTAGACCACTTGCTTCCACAAAATTGTTGGCACTTAAACTTCGAAAATCATGAGTCTCGAAATATTCTTCGCTAAAATCTTCAATTTCAAAAGGGGTTCTCATGCACGGTTCACTTAAACTCTTTTCATAAACAGTAGCTCTCCTTGAAGCAATTGACGAATCCACTTCGAATCTGGCAAGTCTCTTAGCTTTGTATTGCGTGTAATTCCAAATTCGACAAGCTAATGCCATAGAACGTGCTGCAGCCCTCACAAAATAATAAGGGCTATCCAACCCTTGCCTCAACGACTGCGACATATTATTTTTCAGGAGGACCCATGCAGCCAAAGTCACATCAAAGAAGAATGTGTGCCTTGAAATCAATGCCAAAACCAGTATAATAGCCGAAGTTATCCAAGTCCATCTTTCACTTTCCTCTTCCTGAGAAGGTTTCAATTCTCCGGAAGTCGAAAACGCTTGGTCCATTATTGAACGAGCACCGCGTGCAGTCTGACTAGGAAGTATATCACCAAGGTCCAGTTCAAAAGGTGAGAGAATAAAATCTGCTCTGCATCCGTATACGGTAACCCAATCCGAAGGACCATGGCTACCCCAAGTTTGCACTCTGTATGTGTAATCCTTGTCCAGTTTTAATGCATTTATGTCCATGAAGTTAACCTCTCTTGTGTCAGCCACATTCGTCCAGGTTGAGAAAGTCTGCGACCACCGCTCAATCAGATATTTATGCAAAGGAGGTACACCACTGTTGCCAGGGGCTTCCCACGACAGCTGTATGCCGCCGCAACTGGCAGGATTGCACTGCAAGGATCGGACTGAACCTGGAGCCGTTCCAATACCGAAAATTTGTCTCACCAAAGCATGAGTAACTTTTTTTCGGTGTAAAGAGCTCTTGATGCCAAGATCCTCGATCAACGCTTCACTATCGTTCTCTATAAGTGCTGGGAAGTCCATACCATTGATAGCATTCTGGCGGAACGCTTCTGCGTATTGTGGCAGTTCTAGTCCATGAGTAACCCAATCTACTACATGATTTGCAGTCATCATGTTTGACAGGTGATTCTGAACACAAATACACCTCTACCAAGTTAAAGGACATTCGCTAACCACGTGCATAGAAGCAGCGTTTACAACCTTCTAGTTGATTTCGTAAACTCAATTCCTCTTAAAAAAGAAGGTTGAAAACCTCAATGAGCTGTGACCTTGTCGTAAATCTCGAGGACTTTCTCTTAAAGCCACCTTAATTACTGAGTTTTCAGGATTTACATTCCTTCCCTCTACCAAGCTTTCTTGCATTCCAACGCTTCACAAGAGTTGAACTCCAACCAAAAGAACAAATCCACATTTCTCTGGAATGCTCAATCCCATGTAAACGACACCAAAGAAACACAATTCAGACAACTTCTCACCAGCATCTCTTCAGCAGATATACTATTCCCGCCATAGCTGAAATTGAAGTCAAACTGGGACGATGCCATTAACTCACTCATATCCTCCTTTGTTTCCATTTCACTTTCGTCTGTAATTTGCACCTTCAATTCCCGCAAGAACTGTACCCAAGGTTCCACACATGGATAAAGGCCATTAATCTTTGACCATAGCTCGTAACTAACACAAGAATACGGAATCAACTCAGAATCTTGAAGCAGCAATGCTTGAGATACATTTTTTGTGATGCTTCGAGTCTCTACATTTCCCACGCTAGACAATTGAACGCTTGCCAAAGCAGTCCAATTCACAGTATTCAGAGAAGGAAGGGATCGACACCTTAGTTGCTTCGGCTTGTTCGATTTCTCTGTTTCCATCTTGGTCAACCATGCCGAAGAAAGTCTCCAAATTTCGCTGAAAACCTATAAAAAAGAACCATTAACATAACACCGATGCAGCAGGTACAGGAAGTACAATTGCATTCTCATCAAAATTGAATACATCTCCATGCGAGAATGGTTTTGGTAACCGAGAACACACCTTTGACATTCGCTCTTGTACCACATGACAACGTCACCAGAAGACCACCAAGGAGGATTAATTTCCACAGGGTATAGTGCTTTGAACTGGATGGGTGCCGTCTGCACCGCTCCCTACTATGCCCGTATGTCATTGTCTTAGGAGTGGCGTCAGCAAACTGTCCGTGTGAACTATACACATTGTCTCCAAGGTCAGATTTACTCATCTGTTTTCCTACACTAGAGCAGATTTGTAGAGATAACGTGGTAATTAGCGTGGAATTATGTCGCAAAGCCCCATCACTGATCTTCCTGCAACATCGGTAGTTAAGGACTAATAATTCCGCGCTGATTCCGATCGGAATACTCTAATGACGTAAGGAGGGCCATAACAAGAGAAAATCCACCCAAAGTTCAAGAGACCCCTGCTTCAGATATTCTTTTCAATGAAAGTATAGAGGGAGAAGCTCTGGAATTCTTATCATTAATCTTACAAAGCAGTCTGAAGCTGTGGCTAATTTTTTGTAGAACAAAGGTCGATAAATCTAGAGAAACATCGCATTGTAAATTGATTCTTCATCTTAAATCTCGCGTACACAACCACAAATCGAAGCAAGGCTCACCAGCTTCTAAAACCTGGGAGCTGATCACGTGGAGAAAATAAATTCAATTCTCAAACCACAAGCTCGTCAAATAAACATCGCTGGTAAAGAGCGGGCTAATGTAACGAGAGCAACAAAAATCACAATCACAGCTTCGGCTGTCAGCCGCAACAACAGGACATCAAAGGCATGAGCACAACATTTAGGAACTCCAGCGAAAATTTGTGCAGAATACCCCAACGATTTTAGAAAATCTATGTAAGATTCAAAACAAAGGTGGGAACCAGCCTCAAAGATCGTTCACCCTCCGAAATTCTCCCCTACCAGGGCCGTGCAGAAGGATTTAAATGCCCGCCAGCCAGAACTGCCACAGAACATCCCGTTCAAAACATCGAATATTGGTCGATACCCACTGCCAGAGGCTCACACACAATGCAAAAAGGTAAAAAAGAGAAAAAAAGTCTAGTGATCGCCGCCTCAATGGCCACAATTCTCCACGGAAATCAGTAGAACGCTGCGAAATCAGCAGAAGCACCGCCGGGGAAGAGTGTATATCGCAGGCCTCTCGACGAAGAAGACGCCCTCACCGTCCGAAGGTCGCTTGGACTGAGACCCTCGCATCTATTGGACGGCGTACACTGAAGCTCTAGTCCCAACGTACCACCTCGATTCCGACCAACGGTCAGATGTCAATCGTGGCCACCTGTCGATCCCACTCCACATGGACCACAAGCAACCGACGTACGCTTTGTCCAAGTGTGTAATATTTTTCATCCATAAATCTGTCATCCATGTTTTACATTCATTTTGTTTTCTTCCTCCTTGCTTCGTTACACACCTCCAACAAATGGAAAGCCAACACACAAGAGGAGCTTTATGAGCTTGAGCTTGTGCTGGAAGGTCGATGACAAGCTTTACTTTTGTCTTTATGTGTGTGTTGGTTTGATGTTTTTTCAATAATAAACTGGTTGAGTATTAAAGAAAATGTTGCTCTCAACTTTAAAATCGAAGTTTTTAATTTTTTTAAGGGGTCTTTTTGTTTATAAGAAGAAGAGAACTTTTAATTCCCTTGATTGGTTGATTTTTTTAAAACAAGTTACTTAATTGACTTCATGTTTAGAAAAATCAGTCTAATTTTTTTGAAACAATAAGATGATATGGAATGTATTTTTTTTCCAACATCACATAAAATTTGTTGTCCTTTGGAATTTGTAGTCGGCCCACCTCAAGGAGAGACTTTTTCAAGAATCTGAGAAACCTCCAAAATTATTTTTTTATTTTATTTTATTTTATTTTCTGTCGTAGTTGTTATGAAAAATATTATATATATGTAAAAATTTATAATAAATACTAATATGATATATATCTTGGTTTCTTCTCACTTTACATTGTCTCCAAATATCAAGACTTCTAAAAATAACTTTTTTCTTCATTAAACAAGAAATTTTTGTAGTCTTTTTTTACCATTACCATGTAAAGTGGGCTTCTAGATGTAAAGATCCCCTTGGGTTGATTTGTTTCACACCTTATAATTCATTCATATTAACATGGAGATTGTGAAGAGTTTTTGGTAATATAGACTACCAACTCAATGGGTGCCTTGGATGGCAGAGTAGACAAAACTAATTTCTGCAGATCATGACTGAATTCTGGTTGTCCATTGCTCAGTACACCAACATAGAAAATCCAAAGGTTGCAGTTTTTGTGTACAAACCAGTTGCAATTAGTTTGCTAAATCAAGGCCTGTATCAACTAATTCATTACAACCCACAAGTTGTACTCCAATTTCTGATGCAGTGACACAGCAAACAAAGCAATGAATTTAAATATCAAAAGTAGTCCAAGAGTTAACTGAAAAATCAATAATACTATATATGACTTCACAATTTTAAGTGAAGGATGCTATTGGATGCATGCATTTCATGCTGCCAAATTAATGACCTCAAATGTCACATCATTCTGTTCCAAGAGACTGACTCTAAGGTTTGATGGATTGACCACAAGGTGAGCAAGTCCAACAGATGTGGTACAAACAGTACAAGCTTGGGGGTGGTTTCACTTCATTTGGACAAAATTAGAATTCAATTACTAGAACAAAGTCCAAATTAGATAGCACACATGGGCAACTGTCAAACAAAAAATCAGCAAACTAATGCAACAGACACAAGACAACACAACATTAAAGAAAAATGACATTAAAGTGCATGAATAAAAATAATTGTACACAGGCATTTGTGGGGCTAAGAAATGGGATGGCACTAATCTTATGTGTTTTGAGCAACCACATGAAGAGTTGATGTCTGATAGACCAAGGCCTGCACTAGTGGCAGTCACTAGAAGCTCAGTGTGTGAATAGAACTTTTGACAAGGCAATGAATGTGCAATGATATGAAGACAAAAATCTTTCAGAATGAGGTTCCAATAATGTATACAAAATCAAGTATATGCCTCAAATACCTGCCATTCCAACAGTCTATATGATATATATATATATATATATATACATACACTAAAATAATAGCTGAGCTGCTTACATGGAAATCCCTAAGTTGTAGGCTCTCTTATGTGGCTATTAGATGACACTTGATTAGCACTATGACCATTTCTTATCCCTATATGTGTAGAGCTACTCTCATATATGGAAATCTAGGCCATTGACACACTATGACTTGTTTTCTTTAGTATGTAATCAACATATTGGCCTATCAAGTTAATATGAGTGAGATCGGAGTGTAGATTACAATGTACTAAGTTGAATATTGTTGTGTAGTAATACAACCATTAGGTAAAAGAAGAAATAAAAATATTTTATTATATTGTTGTGTAGTAATACAACCATTAGGTAAAAGAAGAAATAAAACCATTTTATTATAGAAGAGCTTAAATGAAATTATTTTAGTAAATTATCTTAGAAATATAGATAATAGACAAAAAGGTAATAAAAATTAATAAGTGATAATATTTCCTTCTTTTAAAAGAGACTTCTACTTACTTTGTAGGGGGCATGAATGAATCAAATAAAAATAAATGATATAAATAATTGATATATGCATCTTTAGGAAAAAAATAAAAAATATATTTTAGCAAAAATTACCTTAAAATACTAAGAATTAATATTCAATGAAGATCAATTGTAAACCAAGTTGAAATCAAAATTGTGCACCTATGGCAACTCTGGAGTTCTTTGGTTGATTAGAAAGTAGGATTTAAGAAAAAACTTATGAAAAGATTTTTGAGAGTTGATTTTATGTGATTTGAAGGTATATTGAGGTTTTGAAGGCTTTTCAAAGAAAGGAGTGTATTTAGTACATTTGGATTTTAAGAAATTAAAAGAAATTTACTAATTTGATAATTTTATGATTGTTATATTATATTTACAAATATTTTTTTTTTTAATTTGTCATTATGCTTCTTGTAAATGTGTGTAAATTTATTTTATATCAATTAAACAATTTATTGGATATATGAATCTCGAAGAAAGAGAATCCTTGATACACTCTTGTGTCACTAAAGAAAACTAGAAAGTCACTCAAAAGGTAATGTAATATTAACTAGAATGGCTATTGTCAAAAACAACAAGACTAGAAAGACTTGAAATAAGACTAAGGACTAGAACGGTATTGACAAGAGTGAAGAAGGCTTCATTCTTACCTCTACATATACTCTCTAACTAAGAGCTACATGACAATGTCTTATAGAACCTCCAAAACATGTTGACTTTGCTAGCTACATGTGTGAGCCTAAAATCCACCACTCTATGGATTTAGTACTCCACAACGAGCTCAAGAGGTAGAATGGAAGAACTCCCAATTATGAAATTGTTAGATTAATTAAAATGTGGGTGTTTGTAATTCAATTAAAATTAACGCCTTCCAAGCAATGGTTACGGATATTAAATTAAAACATCAGATGAAATTCACCATACAAAAAAAAATAAAAATATATATATATATATATATAAAAGTAATTAATTAAGTTTTTCTTATTAATTCACAATAAGAATAAAAACTTAATTTTAAATTAAAATTTAAAGTTAAAAGTTAAATTTAAAAGTTAAAGTTAAAAGTTAAAATTAAAAGTTAAAAATTAAAGTTAAATATTAAATTCAAAAGTTAAAGTTCAAAGTTTAAAAATTTAAGTGAGAATATTAAAAGTTAAAAGTTAAAATTTATTAGTCAAAAGTTGAAATGTGGAGATTACGAGTTACTGTGAAGATAAAAGTAAAAATAAAATAAGAGGGATAAAAGCGAAGGTACCTTGACAACACCAAGGATTGAAGGCAGCGACCCCCTTCTACTCCAAAATTTGCCAAAACATTTAATTAGCTCCAAATTTAATGATTCGCAAGTTGTTGCAAGGTTAACTTAAAGACGCTCCTGCCCCAACAAATCTCATTGCAATCTAGTGATCCAGTCGTGAGAATTGCTCCTTTGAAGTTGAGTGATTCAAACTGCCGCGGCGACCAACCCCCTTCACTTAGAAATTCGCTAAAAATTCAAATTGTCTTCAAATCCAGTGAAACGTATTCCCTTCAAAGCTTAGCTTACAAATCTTGATGCTTCCAAAATTTCAAATGAATCGAGTTATCAGGCACTGAGAAATGCCTTCCCAAACTCGATTAATCCAAACTGCAAAGGCAGTCGACCCCCTCACACTCAAAATTTCACCAAAAATTCAGTTCAACTCCAAATGGAGCAAACCTTACCTTGTTGGAAAGCTAAAAACAAAATCTACAACAAAAAAAATAACATTGGAACTAAAAAAATTGAGTGACTGATGGAGGAAAATCTGAGGCTCTTAAAACCCTTGGAGTAATTGAGAGGCCAAGGGAGCTATTCACCACAATGAAACGTGTTTTAAGGCCCAATGACTATCATTCACAACTCGAAATCCATGCACACCCACCCACAAAATTCAAAATGAGATTTAAAATCTAAATGAAATTAAAATTAGGATTTTTGGCCAAATTTTAACATAGCTTCGCCCTTCACAAAAAGAGGAGAGAGGGCTTGGAAAACCAAGACTCTCTCATACAATTGAGTGGAGGCTCGTAGAAGGGTGGCTACATCTCCACTCTTGATTTTTGAGATCCCTAATCTAGATCTATGGCCTTCATTCATCCAAGAGCCAATCTCGTTATCAAGGCTGATGGCCCTTGTAAGTAGTCAAGAAGGCATGTTTTTGTAAATCTAACTTCACTATTGTGTTCAAAATACCCTTTTAAGCAAAGATCGACTACTCACATGCCCCAATCCATACTCAATTATAATTTCCATGGAAGTTTTTACTTACAAGGATCTTGGCAATTTTTTTGTGAAATTCTTCAAAATGAGAATTTCATTGCTTCTCTTGTATTTTGAAGGAGAGGTTGCTGATCTTATTTTCTTCACTCCACGAGGTAAATCCGGTGCCACCATTGCATTAAAGAGACTCCCATTAAGTAGAAGAACCACTATGCCGCTTAAATTTGCCGAATTTGGAAGAAAAATCCAAAATTACTATTGCTAACTTCCCTAAATCTTTTAGACAATTATAATTCCAAC